GCATAGCCGTGCTTCATTTGGTAATGCGTGCATTTCGTGGCAGCAGTCGCAGCGCACTGATTTTGTCGTGCCTTATTTTCACTGCTTGAGCCTCAGAAGACCGAGCCGACTAACATTATTTCGGTTTTGAAAAAGTTAGTTCTACATGTCTAGTCTATGTGTTCTCTGGTTAGTGGTTATACTAATCCTAATTTAACATAATGTTTAATTTTATAGAAAATGGTCTACAAAAGATGATTCCAACCTATACATGATCTTCGATTATGTTTGTGGAGGCGAGCTGTTCACATATCTGCGAAATGCGGGGAAGTTCTCTAGCCAAACTTGTAAGAATAATATTCGTTTAGAGTCAAATAAATTATTAATTTTTAATTTCAGCTAACTTTTTTGCAGCAGAAATTGTAAGCGCTCTTGAATATCTACACTCACTGCAAATTATATATCGAGACTTGAAACCAGAAAATCTGTTGATAAATAGGGATGGTCATATAAAAATAACCGATTTTGGATTTGCTAAGAAACTCCGTGATCGGACGTGGACATTATGCGGCACACCCGAGTATATAGCACCAGAAATAATACAATCTAAAGGCCATAATAAGGCAGTCGACTGGTGGGCGTTAGGTATGATACTGTTTACACGGATTCATAATATTATATTCTTATAAATCTGTTTATAGGCGTATTGATTTATGAAATGCTTGTGGGTTATCCGCCTTTTTATGATGAGCAGCCATTTGGAATCTATGAAAAAATATTAAGCGGCAAAATTGAATGGGAGCGCCATATGGATCCCATTGCTAAAGATTTAATAAAAAAGTTATTGGTGAATGATAGAACAAAGAGGCTGGGGAATATGAAGGTAAGGCTTGATATTATTTTATATTATTATTATACTTCACGAAAGTCAAATCAGTCAATATGGTTTTGTGCAATGTCCGTCCGTCCGTCCGTCTGTCCGTATGAACGCAGTTTATTTCGTCACTATTGAAGCTAGAGACTTCGGACGCATACTCGTGTATATCTCTGATTTATAAAATGTTAAAATTTTTCGGATTCGCCCACTAGGGGCGTGGCAAATCRGAAAATGCATTTTCCGATATACCAGAGATCATATTAGTTGAAACTAGAAAGCTGCGTCGACAACCCAACATCACGAAACTATAAGAGCTAAAAGCTTCAAATTTTGATAGTTAAGTTACTAGTAACCTTCTCTATCGATGAGCCGAAAATAGTTGTTATGCCTTTTTAGGGGCGTGACAAATCGAAAAATACCATGTAATTTTGATATTTTTTGGGCGTCAGTATCCAGCGTAAGCAAGCATTTAGGTTACCGTTACCTCGTTCTAAGAAGATGTCTACGCTCAGTAGGGCCGTGACAAATCGGAAAAAACTGCATTTTCTATAATATTAGAGCTAAACTAGCTACCAAATTGCTTATGGGATGTGAATGAGTATCCCGCAGTTGGTAACACCCGACTGCAACGTTCTTACCTGTATACTATGATGGCTTTGTTAAAAAGAATGTAAAATACAAAAGAAGGCGTGATCGAACCCATAAAGTATATACATATATTCTTGATCACAAGAACGAGCTCATTGAATCTAGCACTGTCTATATGTCCGTATTTAGACTCATTCACGAATGTGAAATGAGTATATTGGTTTTGTTCAATGTCCGTCCGTCTGTCTGTCCGTCCGTCTGTCCGTCTGTCCGTATGAA